CAATGGGCCATGTTCACCATACTCTGTGTACACATAGTGCCACTCTAGCTGGGAACAATGGGTTGTGTTCACTTCACTCTGTGTACATATAGTACTACTCTAGCTGGAAACAATGGGTTGTGTTCACTACACTGTGTACATATAGTACTACTCTAGCTGGGAACAATGGATTGTGTTCACTTCACTCTGTGTACACATAGTGCCACTCTAGCTGGGAACAATGGGTTGTGTTCACTACACTCTGTGTACATATAGTACTACTCTAGCTGGGAACAATGAGTTGTGTTCACTACACTCTGTGTACATATAAGGCGTTTTTATCTAAGCGAAAGCGCTTTACGGTTTCGCAAATCTTCCATTTATCTAGACGGTTTCGTGAAAGCGCTTTGGTCGTTTCTCGTTTTTATCCAGACGGTTTGCGAAAGTGCTTTGCGAAACCGTCGAAATCGCCCAGCGAGCGATTTCAGACGGTTTCAACATTCAATATGGCGGATAGTCAAACGTAAGTTATTAAGTCGTTTTCTTAATAAATGATTATATAAGAATAATAAGTTAATGTGTTATAAAAACGTACAAAGATCAGCTAAATCCTAACCAAATGGTGATCGTAGCCGAGTGTTTTTATGTAACAAAAGCGCTTTTACCAAACCGCTGATCACGTGATTTAGGAAACCGATATACCGATTTCGCTTAGATAAAAACGCCTATAGTGCGACTCCAGCTGGGAGCAGTCGGTTGTGTTCACCACACTGTGTACACAGAGAGTGCTGCTCTAGCTGGGAGCAGTGGGTCGTGTGCTGCTGACATTTGCATTTCTAAATGCACAGCACGAGGAGTTCTGTCCGTTCACCACGCGCTGCGCCCCAGATTCTCCCATGTAATATTTACAATGGGCATGCTGTACAGAGATTTCTCCACTTTGGCGTTAATTTAAAATGAACTAGTCCAATGTGACGCATGAGGTGCTATTTGGCATATATCGAAATCAGTATCGATAATTTTCGAATTAATAATGAAATTGGCCATCTTTGTAGCAAACATTATTGGTAGCAAGGGTTCAGCAATGATTGCTTGATTTAAGAAGTTGCAGTGTTGATTAGATAATTATCAATATTGAGTTCATCATTATCATTATTGATGTGATCATTCTCGCTATTTATTTGAATACTCTCAGTATTTATTATGCTGTCGTCTTCAGCGATATTTGTGCTATTATATTTGTGCTATGGTGTTTGAGACAGTGCAAGATTCAGAAAATTCTCAGCTACCTTCATGAAGGCTGAACTAATAATCTTATAGCAGTGAGTATGTTTTAAAAAATACATTCCTTTCACTTTGAAAAGAAAAATATACAAGATATTGCTACGTGGTCCAGCTATTGACATGAGGTTGTGTCTGTGTGCGTGGGTGCGTGTGTATGCGCGTCTGTGTGTGTGTGTGTGTGTGTGTGCGTGCGTGCGTGCGTGCGTGCGTGTGCGCGCGCGCGAGTGTGAGTGCGTGATGCAGCTGTGGAAGGAGATCAATAGATAGCGAGGGCGAAAGTGTGCGCGCGCGAGATAGAGTGAGAAAGAGAGAGAAATATACGATTTTTGTGTTTACTAGGTGCTTTAGTACATGCACGTATAGATGTAACAAAGTATGATGTTAATGTCTAAAGTCGTAGTGTCTCGTTGTCAAACGGTTTCCAGCGTTATACTAAGAATGTCGGCTTATTGATCTCACGCGTTGTCTTTACTCGGTGTTGTTTTCATCTTTGTTCTGTATCGGCTGCTTTTGCAGGAGTTGCAGAACACGTTTTATTCATTTTTTTACATTTTATGCGTTTCATCGATGAGAAGTGCATTTTGACATTTTACTTATTTTTACGTGGAAGTTTTTAGGTTTGTTTGGTTAGCCTGCGGACGGTATATAGGCTACTCGTCGATTTCTCTTATATATTTATACAGAATTTTATTTATAAATGCCACGGCGAGTATCGCCTTCCGGTGGTGCGTATAATTTAGTTACGTAGTCTTTCAAAGTGGTTTACACGCTTTTGTTTATTAAGGATTCTCGTTGTCTTGCGTGTTTGCACTAAATAATTTAAGCAGTCAGTGTTACACATATAATTGCTTATTGTTATATGATGTTATGTAATTATCTTATGGTATAATTATTTAATGTAAGTTTCGTGACGTACAGCGAAGCTGCTGGTTGCTCTCTTGGTGGGTGGGCAAGGAGAATGACGGCAACTTTATATCTCTGTTTAGAGGGTTACTGCAGAGAGGCTATAGTCGTTTTGAGTCTATCCGAATAGGAAAAAGTTGTCTCAGTCTGTTAGTATTCCGTGTGCTAAGTCTTCGCGCCAAGATAGCTTAGGAGCTAAAGTTGCATCTTGAAGAGAGATGCTCGTCTCTCATCGTTCGTTGTTTGTGATCACATTGACGAGCACTTATTGCATCCAATTTTGTATTTTATGTCTGACGGCGTATTACAAGGGTCAGCTAGGTGATTCTAGCGTCGGCTAGAGCATAGTAAAGTTCAGGTGGCAATGTGGCATGTACTGGGATTTCGCCCGTGCACGGTATATACATCCCACACATCACTCTACTACACTCCCGAGACGTGCGTTTTTAGATCGTGGTGTTTTAGCGGGGCAAATTGCCGCGCTAATGTAGAGGCGCGGCTTGGGGGACCCCTGGTTAATAAGGTCGACTATACGCGTCGGTTAACCGAAAATATCGACGCTAGCTTCTGCGGCAAATGCGGGCATCGCCATTATCGCATAAACCCGGTGATTGCGTGACGATATTTTTGAATTACTCAATGCTCTAAAACGCTGAATACTCGTCTCGTGTAAATTGTGTATGCGCTACTACATTGTAGACACATCGTGTTTAGTCTATCGAATGAAATCACTATAGGTACAATCCTACTGTTGATGATGCAACGTTTACTCTCTATTTACGTATATGTTTTTTGTTGTTGTTAAAAGCATCGATGCTAATCGAGTAACGCAGCCGCATGATAGCGTAATTAACATCGCGTAGCGGAATGTAACCATTTTCAAAGGTTTCCATTTCTATTTCTACGAGCTGTATCGGCTGTCACAACTTTACTTCGAGCACAGTATATAGCGACCGTCTGAGTGTTGACTGACAGCTTAGATTACTGCATGCTGCACATCTCGTCACGTATTCATGGCTAGCCGTGTCGTCGATTTTTAATGCACTTGCTGGTTCTTGTTATTGTAGGCCCCGTTTCTTTTGTTTGTCGCAACATTGTGCGATGGTAAATTATGCAGTACTAGGCATACCCACCCCCTTACACTGTATGTGTATGTGCGTGCATGCGCGCGCGCGTGCGTGCGTGTGTGAGTGCGCGCCAAGAAGCTCACACTGTATCTAGTCATATTCTGCTTAGCCTATTGGCGATCACAATTAAGGGAAAACGTCTTGTTACGCTTGCATCTTGTGTCTTCTCATGCTGGAAGCCATGACGAAGTAACGAATGATGAAGCCAAAAGAGTATACTTGAACACATTTCTATCACAAAAACTGCGATGTGTTTCATAGTGGCACGGATTAGACGCATGAATTACATTGTCATGTTAACGTGCATAACGCACGTAAGTTATGATAAATGTCTCATTAACATTCTCTTCAAGCACGTGAATTATGATAAATGTCATGTTAAAATTCTTCAAGCACGTAAATTACGATAAATGTCATGCTAACATAATTTTCTCGAGCACTTAAATTATAAATGTCATGTTAACGTGCTTCAAACACGTGAATTTGGATACATTAACAGCGTAACGAACTGCATAACAAAAAACTTCACTGCGTGTAGCACAAGAAAACATGAATTAGTAGGTATTCACCAGGTGCTTGATAAATGTATAATGCGCTGGTAGCGGTAGCATTTTTGTCAGCATTTTACTGAGCTTTACTGGTGTACTATCGGACTAGAATTTAACGTCATTCAGTACGTGTGCGGTGATACAAATTGGGGTGAAATACTTCAGGGATATCGTAGAGGGGAAATGGCTGCGGAGGCGCGGTAGCTTCTAGAAGGAACTGGTAGTAGACATTACCCAAAAATAACAATTGGGTGTTTAGGGCTAGTATTGATAGGCTGTATTAACAGTGTCATGATGCCAGGCAGGCAAGGTGAGAGCGAGAGATATCTAGATGTGTACGTTTGCGCACGTGCGCGTGTAGACCATGTAATTTGTCATAGTTTCCATGACAGTTTACGAGGCTTCCCATGTGAAAAGTTACGCGGTGTAAAGCTCTGTAAAGTTTACAGTCCTGACAACCACAATAAATCGTTACATTTTGTCATTTAATGAAAGTTGTCATGTTTATCATTGTGTGCAGAAGGCTGGATATATGTTGTCACTGCTGTTGAACAATGAACGGATTTTACAATGCACACGTGCTGTCGGCCCGCCCGCGAAATTTTTTTCCCCACTTGAGTTCCGGACCACAGCCAATCAGCGCACTCCATTCACTCGACTTCCTCGAAGCAACAATGTAAAATGAATACCAACTATACCTAAACCTAACACTAACTATAATCCAACCATATATATACGAACCATATATTACAAAACACTATCTATGGTGGGTCCGGAACTCGAGTGGGGGAAAGAAAATTCGCGGCCCGCCCGTGGACAGTTTGACATAATTATGAGATTGACTGAAGAAAGTTATCTTGGCAGTCAGTCAACGGCGACCAACGTGCGAGCGCCATTTGACATGAGACGTATGCTTAATCATACTAGTCTTACGTGGATAAAATCTCCCCCCCCCCCTAATATCATATGCTTTAACCTTTTGAGGATAAGGTCAATTATTTGGTTTTGAAGCATTAGGTATTATGCATTAATGCCAATGGGAATAATTCAATTAAGTAATTTCCATGTGAGTGATAGTTCGCCGGTGAGAGGAGTTTAGTTAGTTTGTTACAGAAAAGTTTAGAACAGTGTTATCCAGCGTTACAAGCGGAATACAAAATTTCAGGTAAATCCCACTAGCATACATTTTTATTACAAAAACGAGTAATAAATACAGAGGTACTTGTTTTTCTCATGTCTATGCGATGTATCTATGCCAATGCACTGTTCATCACAATTTAGTATTCACGGTGTCGCACATTACACACTAGAAACAGATAAGATTTTAACGAATACATCAGAATTGCCTCTGCAATTGAATGTGTGAATTTGATTGAATTGAATGGTGCTTGTTCATTAGATCTTCCAAACTCAACAATATGTAAGCATCATATAAATTACCAACAATCTGGAGGAAAAATAAACAAATAACGTTCAGGTAGTCACATGTTAACCCTCCAAATAACCTACCTCCAATACTAAAAAAGTAGAATTTCCTATAGATGAGTAAATAACTGATGTTTAAAAGATCACACATACAGTAAATGGTTCTGTAATTCCTGCAGAGCCAAATTTAGGGACAACTGTTAGGTTCAGACACTATAGCAACATGTAATAAGCTGATCAGCTTTCATACAAAATGCAAACTGCAACACTATCATAGACTAATTTTCACTTGCCAGAGTTCAGTTTCCTTCCCCAGCTCAGCTCTGCACAATGTGTCTGTCCCACAGAGAGCCCCCTATATGTTTGACTTGTATTTGTGGAGTACTCTCCAGCAGTCAGTATTCCCTACACAACTCCCCCATACTCCCCACCCCTGATGTAACAATCACTGAGTCCCAGTCCCCCCACCCCCACCCCACGAGGTGGCGCCGCGCGCTACGCGTCAGTGAACGTCGTCGCGCACCACGTACGCCATCTGCGGGCCGACGTCAAAGCTGCCGCCGTTTTCGACGACGTGAACGCTCCCCCTGGTGGCGTCGATCGCAAACACGGCTGCGGCGCCGACGGCGAGCTTGCTGTTGAGGGGCTGGCCGAATGCGGGGATGCATCGCGCGCCTGCCAGCGCGTCCTCGTAACGCAGCAGCTGCACCGCGCTCGGGTCTACAGACGAGAGAGGACAGACGTGAGAAACGCCCAGGTTAGGGAGAAAGACAGACAGAGAGGGGAGGGAGGGGGAGGGAGGAGAGGAGAGAGAGAGACAGAGAGATAACAGACAGATAGAGAGGTTAGAGGGAGGGGAGGAAGACATACAGACAGAGAGTACAGACATGAAAAACGCCCAGGTTAGGGAGAAAGACAGAGAGAGAGAGGGTAAGGAAGAGGGAGGGAGGAGAGGAGAGAGATAGAGGGAAAGGGTGGGGAGAGAGCGAGAGAGAGAGGGAGGGAGAAAAGAAGGGAGAGATAACCATAGAGACAAGGGAAGGAGGAGGACAGACATACAGACAGACACAGACGTGGGGGGAGGGAAAAAAGGAGATAGATGTGACAACACATGTTGTTATAAACAAACACCTAGGGCCCGTGGCCCCCGTTGTCAGAAACAAAATTAGTCTTAACATTAGTCTTAACATTAACTTCCACTCGTAACCGTTGACAGAAACATCGCAACGTTACGAGAATGAAAAATACTCGAAAATATCCTCTTAACATTACGAGAGCCCAGACCCTCTCGTAACTTTAATATTAAGTTGAAAATGACACATTTACACTAGTTACACACGTTTGCCACGCTTGCCACGACTCTCACGTCTCGTGTTACAGTGTGAGAATTTGTCTTGTTGTGGAGAATAAATTCATGACCGCATCGTTTTTCATCAAATATTATTTATATGTGGTTAGCCATCATATAAATATGCATATATTACTGTGATGTACAATAAATGTGTATGAATTTGAATTTTGTTATTGATTCTCATCCAATCAGCAGCCTTGTGACATAAAATTATGAAGTTCCTGTTATCGTGAGTTTGCTCGTAGCTACGATGTGTTTCTGCCAACGCTACTCTCGTAGCATTAACATCAGTCGTAAGTGTTATCGTAGCATTAACATTAGCATTAACTTTACGATGTTTCTGACAACGGGCCCCAGCGCATTTGTTACGCCTACGCCACCTAGTGGGAACTAAAGTAGGCTTAAGCTATATAAAGCTCTGCGAGGTGGCAGCTATCTTCTCACCTAGTGCATACTCAAAGCTGTAGCATACCAAGTGTGGCTATAATAAAGCATGGTGTTGTAACATATAAACTCTGAATTCAGTACTTCCATCAGTATTGTAACAATAGAGACAGAGTTGGAAAGGAAATGAGAGAGTTAGACAGATCTAGAGAAGCTGGAACAAGAAGGTAAAGGAGGAAGAGATAGAACAGGGGATGGGAAAAGAGGAAGAGAAAAAGAGTGATTGCGGAGGGAGTAAAGGAGGGGAGGGGAAAGAGAGAACGAGTGAGAGGAACAGGGAGAGGAAGAGTGAGATATAACATAACTATACTAGACAGAGGGCACTCACGGAGAGTGCATACCGCTGCCAGCATGTAACATGTGGCCGTCGCTGCTGGCTGCTGCTGACTGACTGGCCTGCTGCTGACTCGACGCGCTAATATCGATCGCGCGAACACATTAACACACTACACGAGACCGATCACATAACCTCCCTTCCAACTCCGTTGGGCGGAGGTAAATATATAGTTAATTTTTGCTGGCTGCACGGAAATATGACACGACTGCTCGCGATGGCAATCATTAAAACCCTGGGGTCCGTTGTCAGAAACATGAGTTATGACTATCAAACGTCTAAAAAACTTCACAATATTTGACATTAAATGTTGCAATTCATAATCCATGTTATCTACAAAAGGCGTATTTTTTCGACTACTCGTAACGTTTCTGACACAACGGGCGCCAGGACACACGCAAAGCACGGCGACACGTCTCACCTTTAATGAGCCTGTCCATTTTCCACATTCGGTGTGTGATCCGGGCAGCCGTGTCACCCTGCAGGATCGGCACCGTCAGCTGAAAATGGCCGCTGCACGGCTGCGGGTTCACGATCAACATAGGGACCGACGCCTGCAAGAAAACAACAGCGCCTGTAGCCGTGCTGGAGACCAAGGATGTGACACTGCAATAAACAGAGACCCGTCACGCGGCCACGCATACTGCCGAGTGCATGGCTACCACGACTGATAACCACGTACAAGGTCAAGGGCTTCCATCACTCGAATGACAACAGGTTGTGCCCCTTAATTATCATAACAAACTGTTTGTCGTTCGTGTGCACACACCTCTGTCCTGTAGGTTATGATGGGTTTACCCGGGCAGCATTCCTCTTGTATCTTCACATCCGTGAAATCGAGTGAGAATTTCACATCCAAACCCTCGAGCTGCAAGCAACAAACAACAACGATCATCAACTAGGACAACAAACAACAAGAATTATCATCTAGGACAACAAGAACAAAAACATTAACGAAAGCAACACAACAACCACCAACACCACTACTACCACTAGTACTACCGGTGCCACCACCATTTACGATACATCATGACTGTCTAACACTACATGGTAAGAAGCCGCCTACCTCTAGTGTGCTGTGGAGGTAGACAATATTCTCCTGTAAGACTGCCTGCTCGTCAAACTCCATAGTGAGATTGAGTGCCTTCAGTCCTTGCTTCACGACATTTTCCTGTAACAACGATCACACCCTCAGGGGACATGATGCCACAATCTTAACACACAGACCATGTGAATGCAGGTATGAATTTGATAAACAACTACCTAAGACGAATAAAATGACCAATGACAGCATTGCACACATAATGTGATATTACAATTTAATATAATTAATCTAGTAGAACACAATACTCAAAATGACATTGGAATAAAAAACCTATAAACATATTTACCATATATAAATTTGCTTAATTAAAATCAATTAGTTCAAAAAGACAAACCTTAACTGTCTGCACGAAAGGCATGACCTTTTTCATGTGTTTTTTCAACTCGGGCAGATTCTTTAGAGCAGCAGCCACTGCCTTGTTTTCTGGCATTTCACCAGATTCCTAGCAAAATGTCAAGAAACCATAATAAGTATTTGACAAGGCTGTGTAACAAAGATAATAAAACAATAAAGGATTTTAGCATTTGAGTACAATACCATGTTAGCAAATCCCCCATGCCATTCTACGATAATTTAATACTCAAAAATGATATCTAAAACATCAAGGAATTATATAAAAATTAGGTATCCTGCCATTTTTCATACAGTAATAAAAACCGATAGGCAGGGTTATGGTGAGCTGCCATCTACCACTATGCTTACCTTCTACTTGCCATTTTTGCTTACACACACCCACCTATTACCCCTCTATTCCCTATACCCTATCCACACGCAGAACACATGCACTTACATCATGGAGTTTCTTTAACAGAGTCAAGATGGTGCACTGCCATGCAGGGTACGTTTTTGCCACAAAGATCGTGCCATGCGTTGGTTTTTCTGGAGCCACTTTCTGTGTAAACATGAGGACAGACACAAAATCAAGAGACCCAATTATACGCAGGTTGTTCTATTACGATTTGATTACTCGATCAGTATTTATTTTAAACAGCACTGAGATTTTCGTCTAACAAAGTGCTAATGTATACGATAACGCTCAATACGATATGCCATAAGAAACTTCTTAATATAATCAATAGCGATTACTGCGATAACTGCAAGTGCAACTAATAGATGAGTGAATACTGAATGTCAAATAATGTGCATACTTTGCCCTTGGGGGCCTGACAGAGGTTCTTCAAACGTAGTCTGAACATGTGTGCGGCATCCATGAGGTACGTGGACGAGGCCAGCAGAATGTCATCGACGGGTCCGGCCACGGGCCACGTTGCGTGCATGATGCTACCAGGCTGCAATGACACACACACACCACAACTCCTTATCTTATGAGTCGACTCATGAGATTGAATCTCTGTTCTACTCGAATAGATGTTTAACGCCGACACAGGACACGATGCGTTCATGATGCTACTGGGCTGCAATGACACACAACACCACTTCTTACTGCCTAACTCATGAGATCGAATCTCTATTCTACTTGTACGCTAACAGACTGCTAGGGTCGCAAAACCCAGTACAAGGTAATCGATATTTCTCCTCGAATCTGTGATCGACCTCTTACTAAATCACTCTGCTTAGTTTCTTGTTCTTAGGAAACACCTCAGTGATAAACTGCCTACCTTTCCCAGTTGCTCCCAGATGTGCTCACATATATGAGGGCAGATTGGTGACAAGATGAGAATCTGCCACTCAATAAACTGGAATACCAGATCTTTGTGCATGCCCTCAGTGGCGAGTTCTCTGTATTTGTCTCGTGCTGCCTGTCAATATCAAATGTAAAATCTATTATCTATTTTCACTACCTATTTATTTTACATAGAATTACAATTTATTACTTATATATTTCATGGTATTCATCACAAACTTATTACATGTTCTATACAGTAGTACATCATATGTAGTATAAGTACCAACTCTCTATATATTTATATAATATATGAATACATATAAACAGAGGGGGAGGGAAGGAAGGTGTGATGAGTGGGATCAATAGGGAGGAATGGAAGGGAGGGAAGGAAGCAAGGGAACAAAGAACAAGATGCTCTCCAAGTTGGTTCCTATAATATGCTTTTAAGTCATGACTTCAAGGGAGCACTAACTCACCTGGAATTCAAAGAAGCCAGTCTTTAAAGCCTCCTTGAACATCATGCGGTCATAGTGCTGTGCCGTCTCTAGCACTCCCTTATTCATGTCACTAAAAATCACAGCAGAACCAGTGAGCACAGGTAGCAGGGAGGAAAAACACAGGAAATTGTGCCAAAGCACACTGACCAAACGCCGAATTTCTTTGGCTAATGCTAAACGTCTAAATTATACTAACATTATATGTATTATTAATAATATATTATTAAATATGATATATGTTATTATTAATATTATATAAATACTTTAGGACATGATTATATTTTTATACTTGTATATATGGCAGTGATGTCTAAATAAAGACCAGCCTTGTTTTAGATTAGATTATTTTAACCCCGACTGTTGTTGTTTTTGCCGTCATTGTTTATGACAGAACATCCGTCATGTCATTGCTTATGAGAGAACATCCGTCATGTCATTGTTCATGAGAGAACATCCGTCATGTCATTGTTTATGAGAGAACATCCGTCATGTCATTGTTTATGATAGAACATCCGCCATGTCGTTGTTCATGAGAGGACATCCGTCACAGTGACACAACCATTGGATGGTGTCGCACCTGATGAACACTTTGTCGTTGAACGTGTCGCAGGGGCCAGATCTCAGCGTGTCCCTATTGGCTATCATCTCCTTCACCCACTCGAGCAGCGTGTACAGCCGCAGGATGCCTGCGTCCGCCATCGTCTCGACGAAGTTTGCATCCTCGATCGCATCGCCGGCGTCCGCCAGAGACAGCCTCATGCCTGCCGACAACAACTCACCGCGTTAGAACAGCAACGCCTGCTGGCCAGGTCACTGCGACTCCCATGTGGAAGACAGGTCTGTACCAATTTATTGTGTGTGTACCTAACACGTTTTACCATGGAGAGTGCTCGTGCATTCAGATGTAAAATGTTGATACATGTGATGCAGAAATAAACACTACACTGTTTACTTATTTAATGGCAGGTGATTTTAGAGGTCACCTCTACTAGGAGGGTAGAGGCACAAGATGGTGCTTGTAACTACAGCCAAACCTTCCTAACCTATCTGCATGTCAACTAATTGCCATTTAAACTCTAAATGTGCGACGAATAACAAATATTTGTATACTGCTGGCACTTATGTGCGCTGAACGTGCATAAACCTTGCTCAGGGTTCTGCCCACGGTGGGCGGCGGTGGGCGGGTATGCCCGGCATTCGCGGTTGCCGCCCGGCACTATATATCTCCGCCCGGCACTAATTTTTAATATTAAAAAAAAACAAAAAAAAACGGACCCACCTACATTGGCTTCGCGCCTACGGCGCTTGCATCGTCGCAACTGGATGCGCCCGGCACTAAAAAATCCTGGGCAGAACCCTGCTTGCTACTTGTCACATATGAATTTTGGCAACATTTTTTTATGATTTTGTACTGGTTGAATGTAATTATGACACGAAGTAATCTCTCTTACCATCTGCTGAAAACTTTGTTATGGCTTCATAGAGATTCAGAAAATTTCCTGTTGACTTAGACATCTGCAACGATAAAATCCTGAATTTAAAACCAACATTAATAATAATAACAAGTGCTGCGGAGCGACAGCGCTCATCTAACGTCTACTGCGATGACTCTGTGGTGGAGTGGTGGGATTCTAGTAAACCCTGTTAGTCCCAAATGTGTTCACATAAAGGCACAGGGATGGTATCAGGAACCTTCTCAAAGGAATGTTCATTGGGATCGTTATTAAAG